GSACCATATTCATTGCTTGCACTCTTCTCTGCAGTATTAAATGTGTTCTGTGTGCTTCTGTGAATATGTCTGTGATGTCTGTGCTAGTTTCTCTTTGTCCCAAAAGGCTGATTTAACCAATTAACTTAGCCTTGCACTTTGATTAACGTCAATGAGAGTGATGTGTTGAAGTATCATCTCACTGTCTGAACTAGAGGGCACTGCAAGAGGGTAAGTACTAAGTACTGTGTGTTTATCAAGAAATGATATTTTCTAGCTAAATGCAGTGTGCTCTGTAATGATTTCTGGCACAGTGGATGTGTTTTGGTTGCTTGGAAGTTGCTGTGTAATATCTTATGTCATGTTTACTAGGTTCAGTATAAAGAACAGCTCTGCAGAGCTACACCTGTGACTGTCACCCCTGAGATTGAAAGAGTCAAGAGGAATCAAGAGAATGTCAGCATGGGAAGTTGCTCTCATTTAATCCTTTCTATCATTTCTAGGTASAGAGGATAAGCATGAAGTTGTGCCTCCAGAAGTTGTGTCTTTTCTTTAGTTAAGCATAGACTCCCTAATGGAATTACTTGAAAACTGTTTCTAGGAAGCACTTGTGAGAAGCCATTACGTCTTTCAGGAAATGGCATGTAAAGTGGGACATTCTTGATTAAAGAAAAGGCTGCAATTTTTTTGAAATGTTTTTCCGTGTCTTGGATTTTTGTAGGAAATCTTAACTTCTTTCTTTCTTTTTGTGAAAATAACCTTTTAAAAATACAKTTGGCTATATTTGTACTCAAATAGCTACACTTTAACCTGTCTCTTTCTGGTTCCTCAGTAACTTTGTTGGCAAAATGTAGTATTTAATGACCAAAATAATATAATAAAATCATACTTTTCAGGAGCACATGGACGAAGGTAAGAAATTCTGGAGCACACTTTTCCTGTATTGCCCTTTTRAAATGAGTTATACTTATTAATGAGTCTGAGGGACCAAAGCTTTGAGGGAGCCACTTTTCTCCTTGGGACTTCCACTGGCACTTGTACTTCGGGGCCTATAAATAGCCACAACATTTCTCTGGAATATTTTCTGTATTTTTCTCCAAATTTATTTTCAAGAATACCTCTTGAATACCTCTCTACATTAAGCATGTGCTAGACTGTGCSTGTATTTCTGGTGATGCTTCCAGCTCTCTTAAAATGCTTAGTGTTCAAAAGAGCTGCTTACCAACTGATCCAAACCTTTATGTACTGGCCTAATATCATCATTGTTTACCTTTCACCATCTTTTGTGTTGTACAAATTCTATTGAAAAGATTAAATTCTCTTTCAGGTCACTGAAAAAAAATATTGAATGGCTTTGGGCAAAGATTGTATAATTTCACATCTTAATAGAAACACTAAGACTTGAATTGTGAAGACCTTCACAAATGTCATTTTGTAAGTTTTAATACATTTGCCAGTGTATCACCATCTTTATAAGATGTTAATTTTCAACTGGAATGTGAGCATATCAGACCTGGGTCACATGAGAGACAGTTTTTTGAAGAATATACATTTTAATGCCACAGTGCACTGCAGACCTATAAGCATAGTATGTCAACACAGCTATGCTTGTGGTAGAGTCATGAGATCTTATAAAAACATTCTTCTTTTTATTGAAATACTTATTTTGCATCTTGACTGATAAAAATCAGCCAAGCATCTCAAATTATTAAATAACYGTATACCATATCAGACTTTCCAGTATTTTGGACCCACGTTAACATCAGACTGATTGATCAGTGAGTGCTTGCATCCTGTCATTTTTCTTTCCTTAGATGCTGGTCTGCCTTGACGATGCATTTATTTAATGCATCATTGCTACCAGTGTGGAAAGTGCTACCAGCTACCAGCTATGGAAAGTGACAGAGAGGGTGTTTCTAAGCTGAAGGAGCATTTAAATAAAAACACAGTGAAATTTAGGAAGTTGGGCTCAATGCACAATCATCTGAAGTATTGCATCCACTGTGGTAAATCACCTTTAAATACACAGAATGTAAATGTTAGGACATGGTGTCCTTTAGATGGTATCCTTTATGGGATATCTGTGAGTGAGCAAATGTGCATTTTAAKCAGGCATTGATGAAACTGAGGTTTTCACTTGCTCTTCTTAAATTCACTATGTTACTTGTGGCTTGCCCCATTCCAAATATAAAGTATTTCTACCTACTGGCAGAGACTGGTGTGTTAAATGTCAAGGTGTTGTTGTGTGCCTATGTGTRTATATATTCACACAAATACATTAAGACTATGCAGAAAGAAATCAAGGTTATGCCTCAAGAATCAAGTTTTATGAGCTTTAATAAACTTCAAATGCATTTTAGGCTTTCATTTGTTTCCTGGATGACCTTTTAAATCATACATTTTAATGTAATGCAATTTGCTATTGCTTTAGCTGAAATGGTATGTACCATTTTATTCTGTTAAATAATAGGTTCACTACAGAGAGCAGCCTGGCAAAGCTACTGCTGTGAGTGTCACTCCTGAGATAGAGAGAGTCAAGAAGAATCAAGACAATATCAGCTCGGCAAGTTGTTTGAATCTTTTTGTCATTCAGATTTTCAGTCAGTGTAGGAGTATAACAAGGGTATGCTTTTCCATTTAAAACTGATGTGTCAAATGAATTCAGCTGCGTCATCCACTGAATGGATTTTTTTTTTTATCCTTTGAATGCATATCCTGCACTTAGGGATAACAAAAATGTTCATATTTGCGTGATTATTCTTACAAAAAATGTAAGTGCATGTGTTGAAACTAGTATTTTTCAAGGAGAAAGTGTTTAGAGGTCAGTCCTTTTTCTTTCGAGAGTCTTTGTCTCTTCATACCAAATTTTAGTTCACAGATTTTAGAATTAAATTATAAGGAAGTAAAGAACAAGGGAAATGACAATTACAGATATCTTTTTTTTTTAATAATTCATGTCATAGAATGTCATAGAATCATATATTCATCTGTTCTACTTTGCAACACGCCACACATGTCAGCTGAGTAGTCTTAGAGAGATTCTATTACATTAAACAGTAAAGGATTGGCTTTTATGATTGTATTTATTTATTTTTAATTATTACCGTGGTGGTGTAAGTAGCAGGCGGCAGTACAAATAGGGAACAAGGGAAAATGCCACCAAAAAAAACTAATAAGAAAACTATAACCTGGCAGTTTCTCTACCTACTGCTACACACCAAGCACAGAGCCCAACCATTCTCTTTGAGAACAGCATGGCATATTCAGATTTATTCCAGATACATTCCTTTTTTTCTGCTAGCAAAAAACAAGCTGTCAGGCATGAATATGAAACCTGCCAAAAGAATACTCTGCTTTTACCAGGACAGTTCCCGAGGGTTCTCACCTGGAAGCAGGCTGGGGAGAGAATTTGGATCTGTTTTGCTAATAAGAAGATAGCTTATCCTTAGTTATAGAAATATTTTTTAAAGAGATCCAAGAGAAGTCAGAGTGATATTTTCTTACTGTCTTGACTCTAACTTGTAAGCTATGTACTATTTCATGTATGTCATTAAAAAAGTCATGAGTTTTAACAGTCAGGTATTTTTTAAGGAACTATTGCGGTAATAAATGTGCCTTTGATCTTGCCACTATATTAGTCCATCTGTATCTTCCCTTTAAAATAAATCACTAGAAGATGAGTATAAAGAAAGAAACCAGAAAAAAAATGTTGAGCATTGTGTTTTGTATGGGATACCATTGCATGGGGTGGTACACACCATCCTGTCTCCTATGAACAACAGCTTCAGGTGTGGTGTTGTTGCTGTTTTGCAGGTCAAGTACAGCAGTGATCAGAGGCAGCTGAAAGGTAGACGTAGTGTGATTCTAGACACACCTGAGCTAAGGCATGTCAAAGAAACACAAAACAACATCTCAATGGTAGGGTACCTTCTTCCTATAACTAGACTAATCTAAGGAATGGCACTTGACTTTCCAATGGATTTTGCCTAATATAGGTAACTAATGAAACTGCTAAAGATTGGAAGGAATGTTTTTCCTCTTACGCTTGTTGAGGGAAAGAGTGTTTGCTAACTGCATATGACTGTAATGAACATTTTCAAAATACTAATAAACAGTTTTCTAACAGTTAAATGTCTGTTCTTTTGTTTGTTTCTTTTTCTTTAAAAAATATACACCTCATTTGAGCATCACACAGTTTGGCTGGATTAGGTGACACACATCACCTTGTGCCTGTGCACGTTCCTGGCTCTCGTGTGACTTGTGTCTTGGAATGAAATGTTTGCGTGCATTTGCTTGTGTGAGAATGTATGTCAATTTAGATCTTTGATTATAAAGACTATTTAAAAATTTAATATGCATAATTAGGGATATTACCTTTATAACTCTTACTAATACCAGTTTTATTCCAACACTTGGAATACAGCACTTCCTACTTTCTCTTTTTTTTTTTTTTTTTTTGAAAAGAAGCTTAAATTTTTTTCCTAAGACCTGTTTATAAAACCAGGTAAATCATGAGAAAAAGAAAAAAAAGGTACTGTTTATATGAAACATTACATAAAAACAGAATTCTCAGTGAACTTGGTCAAAATATTTAAGCATTCTTAAGAACTATAACTCCTGGAACATTTTTATCCACAGTCATAGTTGTCTACATCATTTTGGAGCTATCCTGTCTCAGAGAAAGTAGAATAGACCAGGGGATCTCTTCAGGACCTTTCCTGTCCTTTATTTTTATGGTTTGTCTGACTGTAGATTGATGATTTGCCAYGTGACCTAGCACATAATTCAGTGGCAATGCCAAGCAGAGGCAAATGTGATAACAAAATATGAAGAAATCAAGCCAAGGAGATAGACTGGATGGCCTGCTAAGTCTTTTCCATCTCATGTGTATAACAGTTCTATCATGGTGCAAAACYCAAAGAATAAGAGTTCCTCATTAAACAAGTATGCATAGTTGTGTGGAATAATCGTTTACTGTCAATTGCAGCTTGGGGAAAAAATGATTTTTCTTGTTTCTGTAGGTGAAATACCATGAAGATTTTGAGAAGACGAAGGGCAGAGGTTTCACTCCAGTTGTAGATGATCCTATAACAGAGCGGGTGCGGAAAAACACCCAAGTTGTAAGTGATGCAGCATATAAAGGAGTGCATCCACATATAGTTGAAATGGATAGAAGACCTGGAATAATTGTTGGTAAGTTGTTAAATAATGTTGCCTCCCCACTATGGAGAATGTGAAAACCTTTGCTTGTTTTCTGGATTATAACCAGAAAAATACTTGTAGGTTGCATTTTACTTTCCTATAATTGTGAAGATGCAGTAAAATTGCTGTTTACACTTTTCAGGCAGGGTATGCTATTTTTTATTTCACTGTAAATTACTTCTTGTGTCGTTTTTAACAAGTATGTATCAGAGAATAAATTCTCCTGCAAAATGGCCAGTTCTGAGGATATTAGGAATCAAGTAATAAAATGAAAAAACTTTGTYAGATATTAATTAGCCTTGCAAACCATATGAAAATGTAAAGTACACTGTAATATGAAAACATTCTAAAAGCTGCATCCAGTTTCAAAAAGTGAATTACTGTATTTAAGAGATTTTGCAACAGTTCCTAAAAAGAGATAATGGTAGAAATCAGCTTGACAGTTTAATGCAGATTAACTCGAAAGGAATGTGATATTTACTCATGAAGGCTTCCCTTCATTTTATTACTTCCATATCTGAGGAGGCAAAGGTAAGTGAGCAGATAAATTTCTGAATAATATATAATAATATATTTCTGATAATAACTCTGAAATTTCTTTTGGAATTTTAATGTCCACATTTATATCCACTCTCTTCTCAGTTTGAAACTTGTATTGATCTGCTAGTACAGTGCTAGCTTCTAATAAAGACTGAAGTAATAACAGGAAGGAATACATTGTCATCTGCTTTGTAAATTTTTAAATATGGATAGTCATCACTGTTGCTTTGCTTTTGAATACTCCTTCTTCTTGAAAGACCAAAATATCTGCAATAATCTTCATTTTGCACAGAGGAGAAAGATTAAAGCTATGGTTTTCCAAGGTTTAAATGTTGCAGACGTACCAATTTCCCCCTCTATCAGTCTGCTATTTCCACAGAGCTACATGTATTTGATGTATCTCATGTTGTAGAATTTTACACCGCTTTCAAATCATCTCCAGCAGTAACTCACCAATACCTTGCTATCTCTGGTGAGCCAAACACCTTAATTCAGAAGCAGTGTTATAAAAGATGGTCCAAGGTAAGACCAGGTGTTTAGAGGATGGGATATGGATCATTTCTTTGTGTAGAGATAGAGCATAGTGTTAAGATGTCATTTGGGATATTTGTTACGTATTTGTTGAGTATTTGAATATAAATATTCAAAATCTGCTGGAAGTTCACAGACATGCTATGATAAAGGGAAAGGTAACCAGCCATTCTTCTTTTTTTTTTTCCACATTTTCTTTTGATGTTTCTTTTTACCTTTTCTTTTTCTGTGCTTGGCAACAGCTGTAGAGACTGCAGGAATCCAGAGATACTCATTTTAAAGTCCTTGATTCATTTTAACAATAACAARGGTTGACTTTAAGAGTGCCTATCATTGAAAAAAATCATTGAAATTACATGCTGGACAGGTGGAATAGACCAATCAGTGTGTYTCATAGTCCACCCTCCTGCCTAAGGCAAGATGAGCTATGTCTCTATTATTCCTGGCAAATATCTTCCAAATGAGCCTCCAAACCCTGTTCCAGAGCCTCAGGATTTTTCTACCTTGCATTTTTGTTTCCTGAGACCTATCCTAATCTTTCCTGAGACAATTTGCAGCCATTATTCTTTATTCTAYCCACCATGAATATAAATAAGTGTATTTATTTCCTTGTGCATGTTGTCCTTTTACATGTCTGTCGCCAGATCCTTGTGTTGGAGAGGATTTCACAGAAGTAGAGTGTTTAGCAAGTTCTGCCTAGGGAAGGTCTTGCAGCTTTTAAGACCTTGAAAGTCTCAGAAGGTCATACGTTATGGATCTTAGGGCAATTAAATTTCCAGATAAATTGTTGTCTGTAGAGACCGACACACTTTAATAAATAGACCTCTTTTGCTGCTAAAGGTGGTGCAGCCAAATAAGGATAAAAGGGCTCTTGTGAAATTAGAGTTTCATATGCAGTTTGCAATATGCTTATCAGTGCACATTTCAGACTTCCTAGGCTATGCTGCATTGCACATGTACTGTAGTCCTGTGTGCAGTCCTGTGTCCAATAACTGAGGGATTGCTAGCACAAACATACTGGGATTAAGAACATCTCTTGGAGAGAAATTTTTGTCAACCTAAAATACTTCAGTAAAGGTTCAGAACACACAAGGTTCTATGAACTYCCTTTCCCCACCAAAGAACAAAAATAGAGCAACTATTTAAAGGAAATAGGCCATGATATACCTGAAAGCCTAATATCCAGTAATATTTCAGCTAAAGCTTTTTCGGAGTGAACTGCAATTATAATATCTACTTGTTGAAAATAAAATAAAAAAGCAGTGATCTCCCTGTTCATGGAATGTCCTTGGCAGCCAAGAAAAAAATCACAGACTAAAAAAAASCTCTTGGGGTTTTTCCTAGCTGATAAATGTTGAACCATTTAGGAAAAAGAACCTCTCTGTTAGAATCCATCTGGTAGGTTTTTAAAGTATAATCAGTGAAGCTGTAAGAACGTTTTCAAATGCCCGATTGCTAAAATTAGTATCTCTGCTCTGAAAAGTAGGCGCTAGTTTTAACTGTGGTAGTACATTTTAAAGTCATCAAAATTAATTCAAATTGAGCTTTGGATTTGTGATTTAAAGAACCTCCATGATTTTCACATGAGTTTAAAGATATTTTAAATTGACATATGTTAACAGGATTGATTGTCAGGATAATAAAATTGATACAAATTAATGGTAGCTGTACTAATACTCCTGTGAAGCCATATTTGTTACTTTTTTCACCTACTAGTTTATGGTTAAACAGGAAAAGCTGGGAATCTACCAGTTCCCTCACCGTTCTCATGCCTGTCAGCAGTTCACATAGTTGCATATTTATCATTGTTAGGACTCACAAATAGTTTATCAAAAGACTATATGTTGGCTTTTATTTGTCCTGTCAAGTAAGAGTTAGCACTATACTTCACTTATGGGAGTTACAGTAGATAACACATAATGTGCCTACATTGAAGCTATTCTAAAGCTGTGAGATTTGTTTTATTACCTATGTCTGTTCTTTCCATTGCCTCCAGGCAATCCATCATTTGAAACACAACATATTTTGGCTCCCCAAAGTCCTGCTTTACCTACCCTACCTATCAYTTAGCTTGATACCACTCAAACCAACAAAAGGACAAAGTTGGAAAGATAATTATTTTTCCCACCTCCACTTTATGGGGTAAATCTTGAAGACAGGACTGCTTGTGAAGCAAGGCACTAGTAGAAGGGTGAGATCTGATGGATTTAAGCTTTAGCTGATTTCACTTTACATCAAGGTTCTATTTTAAACTGGTTTGAGGAGATAAATGATTATTATGCTTTTAGACGCAGCAGATATGAGTGTTATATATAGTACAGATTTTTGTGAGCAGATCAAAAAGTCTCGGTAGCTGATTGTGCATTTATTGTAAGACTTTTTTTAATGTGTAAAAAATTACAAGCATAATTAAAAATGTATTCACATTTATMCTGTGTTTGTAATATGAACTTGGATATGTAATTATTTTTTATGCTTTCTTTCTTCTGTTATTATCTGGTTCAGACGTGAATTTATGAAATACTATTACCTAGCTTAAGATGTCTACAATACAGATTTCTCTGGCTGACCTTGTCACTCTAGCCCATTTTTCTATTTCCTATTTTGTATTGATTAAGGAAGATATATACTTTTGAGTTTTAAATGAATTGAGCAACTTTTAGAAGTTTGTTTTAGTTTGTTCTAACATGAACTCTGGCCCTGGTTCTGCAGATTAGGCCGACTCTCCACTGTATGCAAAGAAAGGCCTATAGTGACTAGATCAGCTGCAAGGACATGTGCTGCCRATACCCAGGTGGAGAAAGAATCTCACCCCCGGTGCCTGTGCTGGTGGTGGGCTGGGGAAATCATACTCTATCTCTGATGATTTAAGTTCTCTTGGTGAAAAAGAATACTCTCAGGTGTTGTTTAACTTGTTTCTGTTTATTTAGACTTAAAGACAAATTATGGTCATGGTTAGCAAAACAAAAATAAAAATGGGGAAAAGGCTCTTTAAAATGATATCAGCACTTAACATGAACACCACAAGTTCCCTTAAGTAGGAAATTAATGCTTTCTTATCCTCTCAGGTGAAYATTTAGATGTTTTAGTTAATTACTCTGTAAGGGAAATTGTTAAACTCATTCCTTTCATGCTTTTACTTCTGTTGTTGTTCGTCTGTCTTATCATTTCCTGTGCTATGGGAAAAGATCTAAAAGTTTGGCGCACAGATCCTGGCTCCATCTTCGACATTGATCCTCTGGAGGACAATATTCAGTCTAGAAGTCTACATATGCTTTCTGGTATTGATTATATCATGACTTTCCCCCAAATCAGCATTTTATGTTTATAAAACTAAGTGGATGCAGTAAATTTTCTGGCCAGTATGACAGACATGTTTTATATGTATGTTTTCATATATATAAAACTGTAATATTTTAAAAGCAGTGTTTTATAGGAACTTCAGCATGTACTTGCATGTACAGACAACAAAGAACTGAAAGAAATTTTATCCTAAATAAGATTTACTTGTGCCAGTTAGAAATAGATAGCCTTTAAAAAGCATTAACCTTCTTTGCCCTCATTATAATTAGGCTTTTCAAATAGCTAACCCTTACTAAAATTTCAGAGATCAAGAAAATGGTTTCTTTATAAAATTGATTGCTTGTCTGTGCAAATTTAATTTCTCTGGCACATGATATTATGACTTATGCTGTTGTTTGTATCCTTACAGGCATTCATAATTTAAGGATAGGTAGAAAAGGAGAGTAGTTAATATAATAGTAGACAATAAGATTTTAGTTCAAAAATTGTTGTTGTTCTTTTTTTCCAAAATATTTATTTTGACTACCAAATTTTGCCTATGTATTTTCTTTGCTATGCATGGCAAAGGGAAACAGAGAAACTGTGGAAAGTGCATTTTGTTCTTGTTTAAATGAAAC